AGGATGAGCATCGAAGAGCCCCGGAGGGTGGAAGATCAATTTCCTCACCATGGGAATCCCTTCTGTTCGCCCATGCAGCCCCACAGAGCTTTGGGGGGAGCTTTGTTTGCTTGGGCTTAAATTCCACCCCCGCACGTCACACACATTTCACCCCCAACGGCCAGAGAAAACACTCTCACAATGGGAACGTGTGTAGCAATTTGGGATCAACCTCAATGTGTGTGTTAATGCATGGGCTGGGGGGAGGAGGGGCGGGCGGGCGGGAAAAAAGCGGAGAGCCGAAGGAGAGAATGAATTTTATATCAGCCATATAAAGCACCAGCCAGAAGGCTTCCCCATGGCGGATTTGGGGTGAAATAAAAATAAGAGAATAACAGCAATCCCACTGAGAAGATTAATGCACTTGAGAGACGGAGAGAAAGCTAGATTTGCCGGATTAAGTGAGCACACACTCTTCTCCTCTTATTATGATTTCATTAATTTTTCAACATATCACACGGCGTTCATGTGGCAAAAATTGCGCGCCTCATTAAAGTGTGTGGAATGTGTGTGAGTGGGTGTAATTTTTAAATAACGCATTGCGAGAATTTTCCGCAAAAAAATGTCCTTTTTGCACGCGAAATACGCGCTGTTTTCACCGCGCGTTCAAACCCTCGCGGCTATTGTTTGAACTTTGTGACGGAAAATATTCAAAAGCACCCAGGTTGAACGTCAAAAGCGCCCCATTATTCAATTAAAATGTACAACAACAAAAAAAACACACATTTCCCCAGTCAATTCATTAGGAGTGACGCATTTAATGCAGGTTATTAAGCTAATATATTGCTTTAAAAGCTCATATATTATTCGACAGCAATTTGACTGCACAATTTGCGCTCTTTCACACACTTTCCTGCATTTTCAGCGAAAGGATGGCCATTCATGCGCAAAGAACTTAATCACCACTCAAGAGTGCGACCACTTTTTTTTACCCCCTTGAAGCGCGAGTGTAAGCCTTTAATCCACATCCAGCGAATTAAGCTTTTATGGTTTTATCGCAAATGCTTGAAGATTAACCGGTTGGAGGATTGGAGGAAGTTGTAAATTTGCAATCATCGCATTTTCAAGTAGCCACGCTAGCGGAAATTGACTGTAATTATCTCTTAAAATCTCCCACAATTTTTGCCATCGCCACAGAAAGCGGAGTTGAAAGGATGGAACACGAAAAAGCTCTCTCACTCTTCCCTTCGTGATTGGCGCGGAGCTTTTATGGTGGCAGGAAACTTGAGAAAATCAAACACTTTACACAAATGTCTCGTGGTCCTCAACATTTATTACTCGTCGCCTTTCAGCGCCCTGAGAAGCAACGCCAAATCATGATTTATCGACGGAATGTGTGAATTATGGCTGGTGGGGTTTATTTTAATCTAAAGGCGAGACCACAAATCGAAAACTTTCGCCTTGACAGTGGTGATTTATAATACTATGATGATCAAGAGGAGAATCTTGTGCAAAAAGACATCTTTTGCCCTCTTGAATATGAATGAGTGAAGTTTCAATGGAGTTTCTTGGTCAATTTCTTGCAATTAATTCCTTCGCCACCTCAAATTCACTTTGCATTCATCCTTGCAAAGGAGAGAGAAAGCTCCAAAATCTGCAACAATATCCCAAGTCACTTCATACTCAGAAAAACAATATATGTTTTTGAAATTATCCTAAATTTACCTAAATTCAAATTTACGTCTTCGACCTTTCCTTGAAACAAGTTTGTTTTTGCATTAAATTAATGCATTTCTCGAAATAATTTCAAGTCTTTTGTGGCAAATAAATGTGAAAAAGGATTTCCAAAGATTTATTTTAATTTCACTTCCAATAAGACTAAAAAATTGTATTTTTCTTTTTCTTTAAACTTCAGTTAAATATCATCTAGACTGGAAATAAGATGTTTTTTTCTGCACTCTTGGACTAAAAACAAGGAATTTTGCAATGTTTGATTTAGAATTTGCCTACGAATTTGTGACTAAAATCAAGGAAGGAAAAGTCTTCATATGTTTTCTCTCTGAGTGCGATTATGTAATAGCAAAATTGTATGTTATACATTTAAGACGATGCCATACATTGACTTCTTCTTATCTCACTGTGAAATCTGATAAATTTTGAGAATAACCATTTTATACCATCGAAACGCTCATCCAATTTGTCCCCAGAGTCTCAAGCAGCGTGTTCGGACTTTCAATATATTTCATGTGACTGTCAGACGCAGCCGAGGAGATATCGTGAGAAGTATGTCGCTTGGCAATTCATGACTTCTCTCTGGTCAACCCAAATCCCAAAGATCAGGGCGAGATAGAGAAATACCCTCAGATTGTCACAAACTTGTGCAACTGTGCATGTTGGCGAAGTGGGTGGCGAAGGACAGTCCGGAGGGATGCTTTCTCCCTTGACATCGCCATGCGATTATCCGAGTGGACATGCAAGGGGTGAAAAATGACGGGCAAAGTGTCTCATTCAGCGTTTGGCTTCATGGGAGGAAAGAAGGGCGAGTGAAATGCAACAAAATACACTTTTGCACATTTCATGTGCAACATTTTCCGATTTCCACCCAACTTTTGGCACTTTATTTCCGCGCCGAGGGTGGTTTACGATCCACCCCCCAAAAAGGCTGCCTCAAACACCCTTCGATTTGCGAGTTGGGGGGTTTGAGGGTTGCGTCTTTCGTGCTAAACATAGATGCCGAAAAGACGGTGCGATTTCCCACCCAGAAGCGATAAACAAGTCTCCTCATATGCCATGAAGATTGTATCTAATGTTATTCCGATTCCCATCCCCTTCAAAATCGTGTCACCCCGGCAATCCATTAGTGGGAAGGCAGAGCTGCCGAAGAAAAATTTATGAGTGCGTAAAGTGCCAACGATTTTCCTCTCCAACTTCCCCCGCAGACGCATCGGGAAGTCGTTTTTCGGGGGTGGTGGCGATACTTGATAATTTGTATGCCACACAGTCGGAAGTCGTAGCGGAAAGATCATTCAGTGACAGCCACAAAAGACACCCAGGAATTCATGTCACCTCCATCACTTATTCACCCCCGCCCTTTAGCCTTTTATCATTTAATTTACACAAGTGCGTGGGAGCATTGATTAGGCCCTCTTGGCATTCAAACAGCGCCGCACGCTGGAATTCCACAATATATTTATGGGGATTTGCACACAATTGGGAGACAAGCCGAATCTCACAAGTTTCCTCAAGTTCTTCCCCAACCTCCCAACCCCTAAAAGCGCTCGCGAAAAACACTGCGACAATGCGTGCTCTCGAGAGGACAATGTCAGTGACAAGAGCCATGAGAAATCCAATTATATATTTCACTCTGCCTCCACTCGAAAATCCCATAAGACAATTTTCTGGATAATTTTCACTTGAGGACAAGAGGCGACTTCGTTTGAAGTCACAAAGTAAATTCAGCGACAAGCAGAAATAAATATACACCGGCAGAAACACACTTACTTAAAATACAATTTGCCATGGCGAGGGTGCGGCAAATCTACGAGGAAAAATTCAATTTCACGACTTTCCATTTAAGTTTTCCTCCTGTGTGTCATTCTGTGTGTGATTGTGATTCACACACACAACAATTTTCACGTGGAAATTCACGATATATCGCCTCAAAGTGATATTGGATACACTGAATGAACTCGCGAACGGAAAGTCAGACGTGAGAAAACTACACTTTTTCGATTGATTTTCCCATCGCAATCTTCGCGAATGTGATTTCCCAAGGAAGCATTTTTTATTGTGACAGGAAATTTAAGAAAAATGCATTAAGGAAAGTGGTAAAAGTTTGATTTTCTTGTCTATAAGCAAAAGCTGAGGAGAGAATGGGTGAAAAGTCGTTACTTTTGGCCAGTGAAAGAGCATTCTCTGAAGTCTTTCGCCACCTTTGCACGGCTTCCATTGATATTTTCCCCCGGCACACAATCTTGCGATAAAGTCTGTGAGATTATTGTGATCTGGGGGATGTGATTGTATTAATGTCTCATGAGGAGACTTCGATGGGGCGTGTTGCAATGATAAATATCCATTAGATTGCTCACACAAAACCCATACCGACTTGGGGGTGTGAGGAAGTGAGTAGATTCTCAAGGGGATTGAATCCTAACCATCCAAATATCCGGTGAGATAAAATTTTCACACACACACACACACACGACGCACGGCAAATGAAAGCGAGCATAGAATTCCATAACGCGTCTAAGTTGTTCTTTTATGTATACGCAAGCATATCATTCAATGTTTTTTTTCTTTGCTCCTCTCCCGGTGTTCTTCTCCTCCCTCACCGTGGCGATAGACATAAAAATAAAAATATAATCTTCGATAGAGGGTGGAATTGTCCTGGAGAAGAATAATTCTACATTATCAGACACATCGCATCACATAAATTGCAGATAAGCCATGTGAAATACGCCAATTTGGATGACTGGCGCTTATGCCAAATGTCGTGAATGCGTGTCTTCCTTAGGCTTTTCATCACAGGAAAGCACCGAGACTCATAAAATATCTCGCAGAATTTAGTGTGGAGATAGAGCACGATGTCACAGCGCCCTTCCTTTTTTTGGGTGAGAAAATCTCATGTTATCAGAATTCCCGGGTAATCAGGGAACAAGAGCACACAGGAGGGACATTAAGTGACATCAAAAATATCACCTGAGCCACCCTCAAACCCGGACCAGAAAATATTATATTTCACACGCACGACGACGAAGGGGAAGTCATGGATAATGGGGCTGAGGATTGTGTGAATTATTCTCCGCCAGGACAAAACCCAGAGAGCAAATCTCTCGCCCAGAATCTCTGGGTGGCTCCCCAAGAAAAATTATACGGTGTCAGATTAACACACCTGTCCTGGAGAGGCGGGTGTGAAAAAGGGTGTAAGAACTCCGGGTGAAACAGACACCATAAATGTGTCTGGAAGCACCCTTTTTGCCGGTGAATGATTGCTTATCGCTAAATTGCATTTATGCGCGTACCTTTACATATCCTCGGCGAAATTAGCCATAAAGAGAGGCGGCAGATCCCAAAATGATGCTCATTCTCCAGCTGTGTATCACACTTTGATCTCCAACAGCAGCACAACGAGTGCTTTGTGAACTGCCGAGCTCTCGACACACCTCACCGTAGTTAATTGTGCTCCAAAACAATTATTATTACACCACAATTCACTGTTCATAGACACACAAACCGCAACAACTCTGGAGGAAATTAATTAATTCACTATTCACATTGACGCTTAGTGTGTGGGGGGTATAAAATTCCACCACCCTTCGAATGATGTCTGATTATTGTGTTAAATCATGCGACAAGGATTGGATGACAATTTCAGTACACACAGGAATCCTAATTACTTTAATTGAATGCGTGACAAGAAATTCTTACATTGGTCACTGACCGGCATAAATCTCAGAGAATGTCTTCATTTGCCAAATGGAACACGCGCTTTCCTGCTAGAGGGTCGGAAAGAAGAAAAAAAAAACACACCAACACTCTCAGCCTAAATCCTCATAAATTCTCATCAATTCACATTCGATACATAAACACACTTTGCAGGCCGGCTCGCAGAAGTGTGGATTCAAGAAAAACTTCCCACACCGAATTGACCGGCAAAACAATGCCACATATGTCACGTTAATACCTCCAAATTATTTCCTCTATTAAAACGATTACAGTGGCACACACAAAAGGTCGAAAGTCCCTGCTTAATTTATTGTTATACAACTAATATGTGCCTTTTGGACTGTGGATCGCACGTCGCGCGTGAGGAAAAGTGTCGTCTTGGGGTGTTGAGAGTTGAAGAGCGCTTGCAACTCGGGCCGCAGCGTCGAGAAAACTACCCTCAGGTCGCCACAAGTGATTGAACCTCAGCCAGTACTTCCCCAAGTCGCCAAAACTCACCAAACAGTGGTGAATTTGGCGCAAGCATGCGCGACCCAGAGACACAAATTGCCCCTCATATTTTGGGAACAGAATTCTTGTAACTGAGAATCTCATGCATTTCACATGCGTTTTATTCATTTTTTTTCACGTGAATTTGCCTGGAAAAACAACTCCACGAGAGAGTGGCGAAAATCTTGACGCGGAAAAGCACCGCGACGTGACACATCATCATCAGGACATCTATAATAATCACTCCCCTAATGAGCCGCTGAACATTGACAATGTCCATCCGTGCGAATGCCACGAGTTGGCGTATAATCACGCTTTGTCCAGTCAGCATTCGCGAGAAAACAGAGACAGTGAAAAACATGCTGTCATCGCGATCATGCGACGCTGTGTCAAATGGGAAATGCAATTTTCTCCATTGGGAAAATATGAATGAAATGACGGAATATCAATGAGTGACCGACCATGTCACGCACTAGTCAGACTCAATTCACAAGAGACTCCCAATTAATTTTCCTGTTTCCCATTGAATTCTTGCATGCCAATTTCCCACTCATGGATTTTCCCCACCCCACCGCGGAATTGGGTGGCGATTTAGAGGGGGCGGGGGTGAGAGAGTGTTTCAAAATGGGAAGTGAATGCAAACACTGCAAACTCTCCAGTGCACACAACTCCTGAATCCTCTATTAGTAAATAGGCCTTTCAATGCAGCGCGGTTGGACAGTCATGAAAAACGGCCACACAATTGCTGTCATATCTACAAATCAGTAAAAATCGCGTCATTGCTGAAAAAAGCTCAATTTCGGAATGTCTCAGTAACAATTTGGCTCGATATTAACTTGGCACTCAAAGCATAATTACAAATATAATTATATTTATCAGAGAACAAATTTCTGCTCTTTTATAAAATGTGGTTTTCTAGACTCCTTGGATCATCAGCTTTCCAACGATGCCTCACTTGGCCCCCTAGACCCTCAGGTTCTCCTTCTGGAACCTATTTTCCATTTTCCCCCACTTTGCCGCACATATGTGCTCATATCTCGCCCAATTTTCCACAAATTTTCCCCAAATTGGCCTCAAATGATAGATATTGAAATTGTCTACAAATAAAAGAAACTAAAACAATCTTTAGATCACTCCTTGTTGGTCAAAAATGCACCGGCTTTTTGGACACCACTTCCGACCCCTAATATCTACCCCTTGTTTATTGGCATTGTGCAGTAATATTGTCAATTAGACTGAATTTTCTAAGAAATCTCCCTCTTCTGATCATGAATTCCCTCATATCTTCCCTCTCATTTCATACCTTGTCCCAGTTTTGCTAGCCAGAAACATACGAATCCCGTGAGGCCCCAAAAATATCCACTGATTTCCGGAATGTTTGTGAATTTGCCCGAAACACCGCATCACAAATTCTATTACTCTGTGAAAATGCTTAAAGTGATGAACGAGTTTGCGTGAAAACCATCCTTTGGAGAGCTCTGACCATCACCAGTCCACCCCAACCGCCCACTCTCGCCGGAATAGGCAAATTTCAATTAGTTCTTGGCGCTTGTGTGGCTCTCAAACACAACCGCAGAGCCCCAATTCTCACAGGCGCCCCTCCGCCCGAGGGACGGTCGGCCGCCTGGGGGTGTCCACTTAAAAGTACCGATATCCTGGACTAAATCCCCCAGAATTGTCTCACCCAATTGGAAGTTTGTGAATGCAATAAAAGTGGTGGAAGATGTGGTCATTTTGTCCCTCATTCGAATTGCCATCTCGTGGCCATGCAAATGGCATAAATTACAGCGCTACATGAGGAGCACTGCCTGGCCCACGTAGCCCAAGAGTGGGTCCGAGGGGGCGGCGAGCCGGCAAATAGTTTTCCAAACTGATATCCCCCGGAGTTGGGGCTCTTGTAAACTTGTTGTATCCCATGGCGGAAGAGTGTGACGAAGGAGGTGTTTATGTAGCAAATAAACATGCGGTTTATTTTGGGATTTTGGCCCCCGGGGAGGCGCTGGACGGACAACGGGTGGGGGTGGGGAAAACTTTAAGTGGGTGATTGTCAAGTGGATATCTCATGTGGAAAATAACTATACAGAGTGGATCCTCAACTGTCTGGAAGGGGAAAACTTGGGCGACAACATGTTTCTGTGGGGTTGAGACCACACAATAAAATCACTCAATGCCACACACCCTTGAATTCCTCCTGAGGATTGATGGAATCACGGATTTATTATTCGCCTCATGGACGCAACCAGTCATCGAAGTGCCATCCAGGACGAGAAAAGCTCGCCGCCACACAAACTCGTCGAGAGCAAATATTTTCCAATGAATATTTGACGTGAAAGCGCATTCATAGAGTGTGTTTGTGTGTCACTTGAAAAACCAGCCCGCAAAGCTGGGAGAAATTAATATTCCCCGCTGGCGGCAGAGATCAAATCTTCAAGTTGGATTCGATTTATTAGGCATGACTTAACACGAGAATAGGCCTGGTGGATTCAAAGGATTCACCGCGCCTCTTTCACCGTCTTCTCATGGATAAATACAAACACCTTTTCTTGCCACACAAAAGCCCCAAGCCGGGGGATGAAGAAGAATAAACTTTATGTGTCAGATTCTATCATCATTCTCATTGTACATTCCCCGGCATTGGGGGTGCGAAACTTTCGAGCTTCCCCCACACGAATTCCCCTCGAACTCGAGGAAATAGATACGCTCGCAGGAATTGAGACTCGGCATTCACACTGTCTGGGGCGACTTTGTGAGCCACAATGGGAATACACTTTGCCTTCGCGCGATCATGTGTGGAGTTCCTGTTCCAAAGTGAAATTCCGCGGGGAGTCATTGAGTAGAGCTGCGGATGAAATTGATGCGCAGATATGGCGAGAATGGCGCGCTTCTGGCAGAAATTCAACACCAAAATTGCTCACCAAGCCAAAAGGGTGTCAAATCAATATGGATTGGCTCGAAATAGGCTTCCTGCCGTTGGATCATCATCTCATTATGCAACTCCCAGGTGGAGTGTCGCCATTTAAAACGTGCCCTGGCAGCCAGTTTGCGCTTGAGCCCCAATTGCCACCAAATGAGCCCACCGAGGGATGCATTTAGCGGACAAGTGCACGACTTTATAGGCATAATTAAAATTGGCAGCTAAAGCAGACCAGACTTGATATCAACAGGATTTCAGGGGAAAGATCCGCAAGTTCACAATGTGCATTGAATTGCTGATGTTACTGACGTTCCAGCAGTCTTGTCTCTTATTGACATTTCTACATTTCGTGATGTGAATGTGAAACCTCTCATTTCGCGCCTTATCTCTCTGCTTATGTTCCTAATCTTCATTTCCCTCATCTATTCTTCGGTAACGATAACCGTATAAAGTCTCTAATGTGAAATTTCACAGCACAATATTTTACTAAGTGGCGAATTTCATAATGTTTCCTGCTGGTTTATTAATTGCACGTGATGAAATGTCTGTTCCAGTGCGTTCCGCACTATTTTGGGGTTGCGCAGCAGAGAAGCGTGATTTAGTGTTTGCAGAGAGTGAAATGTAGCTATGCAGGAAGTCACCCGACAATAAACATTGATTGGCAATTGTGGTAATGGATTTCTCTCACATTAGTCACGTCTTGATGACTTCCTTTGTGTGTGCGTGATGCTTTCCGTGCGGTGGGTGGTTTTTGCCATCAAAAGCATCCTCGAGGGTGCTCTCATCTTATCTTGCGGCATAGCTAGGAAATATATCGCTGTGTAGCACAAAATTGACATCATAATCCGACACACTCTCACTCTCTTGTGTCTCTGCGAACATGACTCCAAGATGTAAGCCAGAGAGTTGTGCAATCTCTAAGTGCACTCGCCTGCAATTTGTAACTCCTTGGGAAATTGTTAATAAAGACGGCTAATTCTGGCTTCCGCTGAGACACTTTGCATTTTTTTTTTCTCACAAGAAGAAGCCCACCCTCTTCATCCCTTGGCACGCCAAGCGGAATATATTTTCATTACAACCCACTGATGTAGTCTTTGGAGCGTGTCATCTCCAGAAGAGCTGTTTCTGGGACTGAATTTTCCCGACAGTATGACAAACTTTCTCAAGAGGGATTTTTGCCTAGAAGAGTCTTCTATATACACACCATTGACACGAGATGAAAGCCTAAAACTTGGCAGAATGCTCTGCATTCTTCCTGTATTAACAGCCCACCGTGCTCGCCATGGAAACACACGCGCGCGCCCTTCGACATCACACACAAGCATTATCCTTAAGGTTAAATGGCTGGCAAAAGTTTCCCTCTCATTGCATTACAACTCTTTTCTCATGCTGAATCCGCACTGAAAGCGAGGTGAAGCAGAAAAATTCTTCTATCTCACGACACTTACTCAAACTGAACAAATAAGATTACAATGTTTCGGTCGTCAGGTGGAGAGAATTTTCACGTGCAAAGTGGACTCTCTCTCCAACTTGTGAATCTAATAAAATTTATTATGCATATTTTTGTTAACTCGGACACCGAGACGGGCGCAATTTATTGTCGAGGGTCTGCAGACTCATGAAAGAATGATGAAAAGTGCTCGTCGCACGCAAATAAACCATTTTTCCCGGTGTGTGTGTGCATCTGAGGAAAAGGGGGCGGCAGAAAACCACACCGGGAAAGTGCTAAAAAGGGAATTAACGTGAAAATATTCTGTTTCTAATTAGAGGGTCAGTGGCGAGGCCAAAAGGAATTGCGGAAAGTGCCATTTTCCCAAGAATTTTCATACAGTTCGCGACATTTCTATAACAGCACGATTAATTATATTATTTATATTTTCTCACTGACAAGCTCAATAGGAACTGTTTTATTTAAAAAAGATCAATTCAAAAACA